TACTTTTCAACCACTATGTACAGACAGGGACCAGACATGAAACACCGGAGGGCAGGACCATTTTGGCATTATAGCACTTCTGAAATCCAACAACCCTATGCGACCCTTCAAACAAGATTCTCCATATCGCGAGTAGTTAAAAGATATTATAATAACACTTTGTATATTATATTTTATAATATATATTGTTTATAAGTTCATAATAACGATATTGAACTTAAACTTAAGTTGTACTTAAAGTAGGGTAAGCATAACTCACTCACTAGGAGGTTTGGCTAGGAACCGGGCTCTACAGGGGAAAAACTTCTGAGCCGAAAGCTCTTCTTCTCGGAACCTTCTGGCGCTCCGGTACTCGCCTCTACCACTCGGGAAGTGCTAGGGAATGGGAAGGGCTAAGAGGGGTGTTTGAGAGAGAAAGAATGGGAAAGGTGTAAGTTTTTGGGGTGATTTACGCCTCTATTTATAGGCTGAGTCCGGTTCGAACGCGGGGCGTTCCCTTGATGAACGTTGGGGGTTCGTGGCCAGGTGTCATCATCTGGTGCCAAGCCGTGGTGAGGAAGCAGTGGCTCAGATCGCGTCACGTGTCGCTCGCTGGTTACTCCAAAAAACTAATTATCTTCTAAAATCCGTAACTTTTGCATACAAGCTCCGTTTTTGACGTTCTTTATATCCACACGTAGATATCGATGGGATCTACAACTTTCCTTTTGACCCCATCAGCTAATTCTCGACCGATTTTCAATTTAACAGTCTGAGAAGATTACACTGATAACGGCCGTGTAAAATTCATAACTTCTACATACAGACTCCGTTTTCGACTGTCATTATATCGTTTAGCTCCAATTAATGAGATCTTCAATTCTCATTTAGGTTGTGTCGGCTAAAGACCGACCGATCTAAAATTCGATTTTCAAGTGGGGGAGAATTGTAATGCCTGGTTTCTAGTATGATTTTATTTCAATTTTTTGCATTTTCCTAGAGAACTCGTCGAGTTGGAAGCCTCAACTCGACGTGTTGAAGTCGTTTTGGCAGCGAAGTTTAATGAGTCAACTCGACGAGTTGAGGCGCCTCAACTCGACGAGTTGGCAGCAGGGTAGGAAGCCCTAATTTCAGGGTTTGCACCATATTTAAACACCTTAAGACCCAGGTGTTGGCCTCATTTCCAACCTCTATAGTCCCTAACCCTAATCTCGAAACCCTAGAGCCTCCTTGAGTGTTGTGAGCATATTGTGGGTGTGTTTTAGTGTGTTTTAAGCTCATTGAAGGAAGAGAAGTTTGGTGCAAGGTGGTGATTCAAGTAGGAGCCTTCAGATCTTGATTCTTTGCACCATTTCCTGCATATTTCAGGTATAAAGTTCTAACCTTGCTTAATATTTGATTAGATCTCTTATTTGGGTTAGTTTAGATTCTTTTAGTCATGTTGGGTAGTTGATGGAGTTGTAGGACGTCCCAAGTGCTATCATTTCAGATCTATGATCCTCATGAGCTCTTTTGGCATAAAGGTGACAACTTTATGGTCTTAAGGGCTCCATGCATTCATTAAGTCCATCTTATGGCTTCTTTTGAGCATTTGAGCTTTTTCTAAGCATGTTTGATGGTAAAGTTGGAAACTTTACGTGGTCTTTCAGCTTTTAGGGCCAAAACTACAGTTTGGGGTTATGCCTTAAGTGTTTTAGTGCTTAATGATTAAGTCATTACCCTTTTAAGCATAGGGTTTGGGTTTTGAACCCATTTTGGTGGTTCTTAGGGGTAAAGTTGGAAACTTTACCCTTCTTGAGGCCATTTCAGTTAAGATCTAAGTCATGAAGCTCTTAGTTTCGTTAAGGACGACTTAATGGATTAAGATGTTGAAATTCTGAAGAACTCGACGAGTTTATGGAAGAACTCGGCGAGTTGGATCGCTTTCTCCCGACTTTGCAGACTGATAGATAAACTCGGCGAGTTTATGGATGAACTCGGCGAGTTGAGTCAACTCGGATTGTTGACTTTGACTTTGACTTTAGTCTTTGACCAAGTTTGACCTATAAGGGGCTTCTGGGCATTTTGTGCTGAACTTAAGGAAATCTTTTATGTTTAGGGGTTGATTAGAGTCGATATTCAGATCCAGGATCCGTTCAGCAACATTTATGTATTCGAGGTGAGTTTCCTTACCGAGTTTAGCGGGTCGAAGGCACCAAGGCCGCCCCATGTTTATATTATGTTGTTGTTATGCTAGTTATCTCCGTGACTCTTGCATGTGCTGTGTTTATATGTTTTTCCGGGTTAAGGCCCTATGTCGGGCGTGTCCTGATGGATATTTGTATGCTATGTATCTTTATGATTATTGCATGTGTATGTGTTTATTTTGATATATGTTATTGTATGTTGGGCGGTGCCCGTTTTACCGAGCTCAGCTCGATGCTGGGCGGGGTCCGAAGCCGGGCGGGGCCCACTATATGTTTATTGTATGTTTGGTATGTGGTATTTTGGGGGAACTCACTAAGCTTTGTGCTTACGATTTTTAGTTTATGTTTTAGGTACTTCCGGTTGTAAAGTGGAGAGCTCGGGGTGACTGCATTGCACACACACACACCATTGAGATTCCGCTATGATGTTTTACTCTAATTTATGATAACTTGATACATTGGTTTTATTCATGTGTTTGGATGTTATGGGAAAAATACTATTTTATTTATTATTAAATGGAATTTTTTTTGGGACCATATTTTTGGATGTTACACAACCACTCCAAAAGAGTTTCTAATACCATATCTAGCATAAAGATGGAAGCTTTATAAACATGCATGTCCAATACATGTCTAGAATCCATTTTAGATCAAAATGAGCTAAATATGACCAAAAACTCATGCAAGGTCATGAACCCCAACCAAAGTATCGATCTACAATATATGTTGCTCATGGGACTCAGGAGAGTCTTAAAGTTGGCAACTTTATGTGTTCCTTCCATTCAATCTTGCTTAAACATGAAGAACATGGGAACAATATCTTAGATCTAACCACTTCAAGCCATAAAGTTTGAGCATTTGTCACTTACAAAGGTCCAGAAGCAATGTGAGATGTTGAAGACGTTGTTTCCTTGCAAGATCCACCAATATAGCACCTTTTTCTCCTTCTTCTCTTCTTCTCCAAGCCACAAATGCTCCAAAAGACCACAAATAACCAAGGGATTTAGGTCTAGGGTTTCTCTGAAGTAAAAGGGTGTTGGAGGTTGGTAATGAACCCTAGAAATGACATAGAGGGGTTTAAATACGAAGGGTAACCCTAAAAGAATCATGAGCTTGGGCCATAATAGTTGCCACACCTTGGCAACATTTGGCCACGCCATGGCGGTCCAATAAAATACGCGTGCTTTCCTTCGATGCCACGCCGTGGCACAAAGTTTTTCCCCCAAAACTCCATCTTTATCCCATGAAGATATAAAGCTAAACCAGTCTGGAACACGGGTGATACAAAATCGAATAAAAAAACTTCTTTTGGTAGTTTTATTTTAAAGAAAAAAATTATACTTTTAAGAGTTTTTAGATTTTAGGTTTTTTATTTTATGTAATTTACATGTGTCCATAGGTTACTATTTTTTTCCGACGTTATGCGAACAAGATTTGCTTATCTACAAGAAAACCAATCAAAAATTCGCATTCAAATAAAAAAATGTTCATTTATGGAGTAATCGTGTGATTGGGCACAACCATCTTGTAAGACTTCTTTCCCAATTATATCATTTATGCTAAAAAAATTTAACACCGGTTTCGGATGATGAAATCATTACTTCTATGCATTGTTGATGACGTGAAGAATCGATTTATTTATTTGAACAAAAATGAGATGCGAGAGGTAGGCAATGTTTCTCTTCAATTCAAAAATATACAACGACAATTTATCAACTAGCATTCGGCATGAGACCAAACGCATGAGATGAATATTTGAGGATTTCAGAGCGAATAACATGAGAATGTCTTTACTAGTTTGGTAAAGTTGTGATTATCATCTATTGTGGTCGATATTTACTTAAGCCTACAATTAACGACGCCCACCAATTGCTTATGACACATGAAAACAAACATGTATTCATGGAATGCTTGATAGTATTGATTGTATGCATTGAGAGTGATCAAAGTGCCCTAATGTGTGGCGCAGTTAATTCATGGAAGGTGATAAAAAAAAACAACTGACGATAATTTTAGAAGCAATATACCGGTAGCGTTAAATGATATTTGGCTATGATATGCAATTTTTAGTGCATCGAGTGCCAACAACGACATCAATGTTCTAGACCAATCGTCGATATTCTACCACATCTACCTTCGAAAATCATATGATGTGCAGTTTCAAGTGAATGGAACATTATATAAACATGGGTACTATCTTACTAATATGATATATCCAAATTTAGCTACATTTGTGAAATCATTCTCATGTACAAACGACAACGACAACGACAGAAAACGATTAAAGTTTAATTTGGCCCAAGAATCAATTAGGAAGGATATCGAACGACCTTTGGTGTTCTAAAGAGATGTTGGTTGATAGTTACACTCCTGACACGGTCATTCGAACGTATAAAAATACATAGTATGATGTATGCATGCATCATATTGCATGATATGATTATAGAAAATGAATGAAAAACGATTTGTCACTACAATGAATTACCATTCGAGATGTTACACCCACCAGCCTAACATTGGCAACAATTGGTGGTTGAAACTTGAATCGTTTTCCTTTCCTTTCCTTTTTGCAATTTTTTAATTTCAATTCTATCTTATTTATGATTGAGATGGCCAACATAGCCAATAAAGAATGTCTACTAAAACCTACTTGCATTGACAATAAAAGACAATCCATAACTTAAAAGTTTGGTGCCAAAACTTCAAAAAACACAAATACAAGCTCAATGTGTAAAAAAAAAGGGAGGTTTTAGAAAAACAAGAAAAAATAGGGAGGCAATGTGTAAATTTATATAAACAGTTTCGTCTTTGCGTCTTTGCCTATTGGCTTTGCTTGTGAAGTTCTTTACAGAGAGAGAGAAAGAGGGGGGAAAGAACAAGAGAGCGACCACATTCTTTATTCCTCTCACAATTTCCCCCAAATGCTTCGCCGAATTCTAACTGAAATACATTCTGGGTCCGAATCTTTTCCTTCTTTCGATCAAATCTAAACAAACTTGCCCTCAAGGTACAAAGATCAGTCGTCTAATTTCACATTCTTTATGAAGTTATGAATCTTTAGTCAGGTGCGTATTCTTATCTCATTATGTTCACTGATATGAGGATCTTGAATGGATGATTTCAACCGTCGATTTTAAGTTTATTTTATCAGTATTGCATGAACTTGTTGATTTTCTTTTCCGAGCGATTCTTTGTTTGTTGTTGATGTTCATAAATCTTTCATTGTGGTTTGATTTTCAAGGGTTTGCGTACAGAACTGTAATTGAACTGATCACTTGTAGAAAAAAACGATAATGTACCTGAAATGTTTGTTAAACTTATAATATTCTTCCCCAAACTTGTAATTTTGTTGAGTTTACGCAGAAATGATGATTAAATTCATATTCAAGAAAATTGCAGATTACTGTGCCTAACTCGATCGTGGTTGAATCGGTGTAGATGGATTCGCTTATCGACGGAGTTCGTTCTTTGCCACCCAGCCATAACTCTGCCACCATGTCAACCTTCAATCCGCGTTCAAGAAGCCGACCTCCTCATCCGCGCTCCGCAAAACAATCAAACCGAGAAATATCTCCATCTTCATCCCATTTCTTACCAGATATCTCCACAATGTCTGTTGCAAGTTCTTATAAAACCTCCAAGGATTACATCGAAAAGGAAGCCATACCATCTACCCACTCAAAACCTAATTCTGCACCCGATAAACGGAAACCAGATGTTCAATCGGCGAGAGATTACTTCCATAACCACATCCTAGAGGTGGAAGCTAAATTCGGAAGCAAACAGCCCATCAATCCACCAATGGGCATGAACACAGATCGTGGACATGGTCATGGTCCTGTTCCTAGCGCAAGCCCACAAAACAGTTTCTATTCCGTCACACAGTTTTCAGAAGCCAAAGAAAGCTTCACCAGCACAGAGGTGAGCGAGTTTGCAAGCACAATCGGTAAGGATGACGAAAGTGGTCAAATCAGTGGTCAAACTAGCGACTATCTTGAAAGCAACAAGACAAGTAGTATATACAGAGAAAGCACTGGAAGCGATCTAAGCGATGATAGTACCTCAAGCAGTTTCAATAGCGCCATTTTCAAACCCCACAAGCAAAACGACACAAGATGGGAAGCAATTCAAATCGTAAGATCCAGAAACGAAACTGGTATGATAGAAATCAGAAACTTTAGACATCTAAAGAGATTGGGATGTGGAGACATAGGAAGTGTTTATCTTTCTGAGTTGATCGGGACACAAAACTACTTCGCCATGAAAGTGATGGACAAAACTGCCCTCGCAAGCAGGAATAAGCTCTTGAGGGCACAAACGGAAAAGGAAATCCTGCAATCTCTTGATCACCCGTTTCTCCCCACTTTATATGCACATTTTGACACCGAAAAGTTGTCATGTTTAGTCATGGAGTATTGCCCAGGTGGCGATTTGCATGCTCTCCGCCAAAAACAACCTGGAAAGTTCTTCCCGGAGCACGCAGTCAGGTTAGCAATTGTTCTCCTTGTCCATTTCATTTTTGAGTTTGACTTAAAATCTTTCTTAACTTAACCTTTAAAATTTCCATTTTTATGTAGGTTTTATGTAGCAGAAGTGCTCCTTGCTTTGGAGTATTTGCATATGCTTGGGATCATTTACAGAGACCTTAAACCAGAGAATGTGTTGGTGAGGGGAAGATGGTCACATAATGCTCTCCGATTTCGATCTCTCTTTGAGATGTGTTGTGAACCCAAAACTGGTTAGATCCATGAGAACCACCACCACCACTGTGGAACCGAAAACCTCCGATTCCCGTGATCAGCCTGCTTGTATCGAACCATCTTGCATGGTTCAGCCATCCTGTATGCAACCCTCCTGTTTCAGTCCCCGTTTTATGAGCAAACCCAAGAAAGAAAAGAGATCAAAACCAAAAACAGAGATTTACAACCAAGCGATTCCATTACCTGAGCTGATTGCAGAGCCGACAAATGCCCGGTCGATGTCGTTTGTTGGGACCCACGAGTATCTGGCACCGGAGATCATCAAGGGTGAAGGGCATGGGAGTGCTGTGGATTGGTGGACGTTTGGGATTTTTCTATACGAGCTTTTGTTTGGTAAAACTCCGTTCAAAGGGGCGAGTAATCGGGCGACGTTGTTCAATGTGGTTGGGCATCCGTTGAGGTTTCCAGAAACGCCTTCGGTTAGCTTTGCAGCGAGGGATTTGATTAGAGGATTATTGGTGAAAGAACCGCAGCATCGGCTTGCTTACAGGAGAGGGGCGACGGAGATCAAACAGCACCCATTTTTTCAGAGTGTGAATTGGGCGTTGATCCGTTGTGCCACTCCGCCGGATATTCCGATTCCGTCGCCGGAGAGAGTAGAGGTAAAGCCTACTGGTAGCTACTTAGAGATTGATTTCTTTTAGGTCTCAATTGTGTAATGTGTAGTGTAAAGAACCTCATGGAAATATGCATCTTGTCACTTGTGTGTGTTGTAGTCGAGTACTCAAGTCTATGTATATGTGGTTGGATAGAGGCTTGTGCCAAGAGGTGCACACACTCCCATAAAAAGTTTTTTTTTGAAAGAAAAACTCTTGAAATCAGATTTAAGATTTGTGAGAAACGGACCGGACCGGTTTGAACCGGAAGGGAAATAGATAAACCGTGTATAAACGTTGTTGTTTTTAAATCACCTCTTTTATTTAGGTAGAAACTTGTCCTGATATTGGTAGTTTTGAGGTTCACATTACTGCAAAATGAAAAAATAGTAGAATTGTATCTTTGTTATTATTAAGACAGGAGACCAATTGTCCATGAAAAAGAGTAATATCTACCAAAGTTGTCAAGCGGGATCTTACCCAAGATCATTTTATGCTTAACAGTTTTATTTTTATTATGCTTTTTGACATGAATAAGCTAATCTCATTAACATATCTAGGAATCACAAATACAAAAGATTTTTACTATGTAATCATAAAATACGTTTGGCATATTGAAAATGATGAATGATTTGCTTTTAAAATTCAAGATGATCACAATTTATGTAGTGTTCGATGTTTTGAATTGTTTGCATGAGATATTGCACTTTATGTTATATTTATTAAGTTTAATCGGTTGTGATTAATTAAAATTAATAAAATTTTCGTCTTTCCATACCCGTATCCTAAATTTGGGATACGGATTCGGATGTCCTAATGAATACGATCATCCTGCCTATGGTAAATTCACGAAAACTCGAAAAGGAAAGGATACGTTCCACTAACAAAAATCGTGAGATCCTCATTAGGATACCAAACCGTACATATCCCTAGGTTTCAAATTCTTATATATATAACTCGCAAACGTGTTCCTCATTCCTCAAGCAACACCATGGCGACCATAAGAGAGATGTGAAGAAGAAACAGAAGACGCAAAGAAAGAGAAGAAGAAGGCAGGAATGGAAGACAGACTCAGTAACTTGCCAGAAGACGTGCAACTCCATATGCTCTCTACTCTTGGCTTGAAACAAGCAGTTCAAACATCAATTTTGTCAAAAACATAGGTTTTCTTGTGGACTCGGATACCGGTTCTTAAATTCAACTTCATTGATTTCAATAAACTCTGTTTTCGATAAGTTTGTCAATACGGTTTTATGTTATCGTGATGAATCAACCAAGTTGGATAGATTAACCTTCAAGCGTCCTAAGGTGTGCAGTACCGGGATTTTAAACAATGTTCTTGATTACGCTTTTTCACAGGGTGTGAAGCAGTTGGAAGCAAACATCTATCACAGTCGAAACCACACATGGCCGGTTAGTCTGCATACATCGTCTGAGTCCTTGACACATTTGAAGCTGGTAAGCGAGAGTAGTACTAGCTGCACGTTTCTGGAGCTAAGATCAGGATCATTCAGGAATCTGACTGTTTTATATCTGAAACGAGCATTTATCACTAATCTTGATCCATTCCCAGTGTTGAAGAGCTTGACATTGCTTGATTGTTATATTAACACAGTGGGTAAAACGAGCACTTATAACAAAGCTTTTTCATTATATTTCCTAAGACAACTTCATAAGCACTGATACGAGGATAAATACAATAGCTAGCGACCAACAAGCCTACAATAATTTGTAACAATGCAACTTTCTGCCTCTGTTGTGGGTCAATCTCATAATCTTTTGTCTTTTTCCATATTGTCCTTCAATAGTGACTTGGTAGGTCAACCCATTTGAAAATTTTTGCAGTTTTGATGAGGATCTTTGCAACCTAATCCACTAACGTCTTCAAATTTTTTTTTTTTTTTAAATAAATAAGGGTTTTTATGTTATTTTCCTAATTATAAAATATACCCCCGATTTTCTTCTCTCCAAAAAGCTTTGTTCATAACAAAATTCAAAAATCCTTACAAGCAAAAATGAAACAATCTAACTGCAACGAGTAATCATCAAGATAAGGTAAGATTGGCCGGCGAATCAATCGCCGTCTCTGATTGATATCACTTTGTTTCACAGCAAACGAAGAATCCAAAATAGCACCGTGAAAGTACTAAGAAACGGGAGATTTTCATTTTTTTCGGAACACAAACATAGAAACTGAAATGAAAAAAAAGTGTTAAGATATCAGTCAGCCTCAAGGACATTTAGGTTTGCACGTTGGTTTTCTATTTTAACGACTAATGTAAGCAGTTAAAACCTAGTCGATTGTATTCAATCAAGGTGCTAATTTTTGAAATTTCAACTTCTTCGAATGAAAAGGAGGGAACGTGTTCTTGATCTTTTTAGATTATGTAGCAGTTGTAGCTCAGTCATACAATTGCATTCTCTCACCATCAAGACTGGGTTTGTTCAAGATAGTTTTATTGCCGCCAAGTTGAGTAACTGCTATGTTAAATATTCATCGCTTGAAGCCACACGCAAGCTGTTTGATGAAACGCTTCAACCAACTGTGTATATATGGAATTCCCTCCTGAAATGTTACTGTATGAAGAAATCATATGTAGAAACTCTTCAGCTCTTTCGTGATATGTTGTCTGTTGAAATACCTGACCAGGCTACCATATCTATTGCCTTAAAGGCGTGTTCTGGATTGTTGGAGCTCAGGTATGGAAGAATGCTTCATGGGTTTATTAAAAAGAAGTATGAGATGGATTCAGATGTATTTGTGGGGTCTGCTCTGATTGACATGTATACAAAAAGTGGACGAATGGATGCAGCTTTAAGAGTTTTCGAGGAATATTCAGATCCAGATACTGTTATGTGGACTCACATTATTACTGGATACCAGCAGAATGGCGACTCATATTTAGCACTAGACTTCTTTTCACGAATGTTAATGGAGGGGCATGTAAGTCCTGACTCAGTAACACTTGTTAGTATTCTTTCTGCCTATGCACAGTTACCAGATCTTATGGCTGCAAGTTGTGTTCATGGATTTGTGATTAAGAAGGGCTTTGAAAATGTTCTTTCAGTTTGTAATGCTTTACTAAATGTTTATTCAAAATCTGGTTCCGTAGTTTCTGCAGCTACTTTATTTAGGAAAATGGAAGAAAGAGATGCCATTTCTTGGGCTTCTATGGTTTCTTGTTATGCTCATAATGAAGCTGCTGATGATGCGTTAAATCTTTTCAACGAAATGATGTGTAAAAGGGTTGAACCCAATCTGGTGTCTGTTATAAGTGCTCTTCAAGCATGTGAAGCCATGTGTAACTTAGAAGAAGGCAAGAAGATCCATGAAGTTGCTGTAAGAAAAGGGTTTGAGTTAGATGTGTTTGTCTCTACAGCTCTAATTGACATGTACATGTTCTGCTCTTCCCCTGATGAAGCCATGGAACTCTTTGAAAGGATGCCTAAGAAAGATGTAGTTTCTTGGATAGCTTTGTTAAATGGATGTGTCCAAAATGGAATGGCATATAAGTCAATGGAGGTTTTTGTTAACATGTTGTCTATTAAAATCCAACCAGATGCTATTCTTATGGTGAAAATCCTCACATCTTGTTCAGAATTAGGAGTTCTTCAACAGGCTATGTGCCTTCATGGGTATGTCATCAAATGTGGTTTTGAAGATCATTCCTTTGTTGGAGCTTCACTCATTGAATCTTACTCTAAATGTGGTAGTTTGCATAACGCCATTAAAGTATTCAAAGCTATAGATGATAAAGATGTTGTGATTTGGAGCACAATGATTGCAGGTTATGGAATTCATGGGAAGGGGAGGGAAGCTATTGACTTATTCAATTCCATGGTCAAGATTTCAAGGATCAAACCGAACAACGTGACATTCCTTTCAGTTTTATCTGCATGCAGCCATGCAGGGTTGGTTAAAGAAGGTATGGAAATCTTCAATATCATGGTAAATGAGTATCAACTAATACCTGAATTAAATCATTATGCAATAATGGTTGATCTATTTGGGGCGTATGGGGGAACTTGATAAGGCGATTGAAGTTATTAATGATATGCATGTAGCAGTTGGGCCTCAGATATGGGGTGCTTTGATTGGTGCATGTAGGATTCATCATAACACAAAATTGGGAAAGATTGCAGCAAGTAAACTGTTTGGTTATGATTCGAGTCATGTTGGGTACTTGATTCTGTTATCAAATATGCATGCTGTCAATAAGGATTGGGATAATGTATTGAAACTTAGATCAATGATTAAAAGAAATAACTTGAGTAAGGTAAATGGTCAAAGTGCAATTGAGGTAAAGAGCGAGGTTCATAGTTTTACTGTGGATGATAGATTTCACCCTCTGGGGGAGACTATTCGTGGGTTGCTTAGGTCATTGGAAGCGACGATGAGGGAAGAAGGTTATAACTTATAACTACTTTCATAAACTGTTGTTTTCTTTGCTACACTCCATTACTTCCTCCAAAACAAGAAATTTTCATTATATTTCAAAATGATTGTTTCATATTTGATGTTACTATGCAAGAGGATGAAAACATTTTTATCTGTTTTGGGAGCAATCTGATATTAAAGATGACCTATCTCAGCTGTGGAGTTAAATCGTTGGCTTGATTATTTGAATTTTTTTTTTTTTTTTGATAGGATGTTGTATCAGGAGGCGTATGGGGATAAGATACGATGTTGTTTTTGTGTCATTGTGTAAGCTGTTTTCTTTTTCCAAATGTATTCTGGTGTTTGTCTAAATGTTTTTCCCTTCAATTTGATGATAAATAGAGTAAGTTCAATGGGGTGTTATTGCTTGGAACTTTGACCTTGAAGATCTAAAATTGAAAGCTTTATGATCGGTGGAGCAAATGATAGATAAGGTATAGAAGGAAATCACAAACGCACTTTATCAATTTGAGCAACCAATTTGATTTTTACTGTTTTCAACTAACATTACACTAATATCGACTGTATAATTGGAACTTTCAAATTACAAAGCATTGATTAATTAAAGGATGCTAACCAGTGTTTTATGGGCTAAAGTCAACCCATGGTTTCATAAGATTATTACAAACATTTTATATTGGTGTAAATTTCAACCAATCCCTTCACTTAGAATGTTTGAGAATTAGTACTTCCTTTATTTTTGTGACAGCAAAAAGTAAAGCAACGATTGAAACAGGAAAATATATCGGCGAGCTCTAGATGTCTCATTTATTCAAATTTGGTTAAATTGATTGGTTATTGCATTGATGATGATTAAACTGTTATTTTATGGTGTATATTAAATTTAATATACTTAAAAATGTAACTAGAAATACAACTTACGAATGGGCCATCCTTTTTTGGTAAGCTCATGGATTTATTCATGTTTTTTAGTTCTCAGTTCATAGGAGGTTTTCTTATTGTAGTATTTGTAGTGTCACTTTATGTAAGAAGAAATTAAATAAGTATGATAAAATCCCCATATTATTAGTTTTGGTGGTGTTACAAAAAGGTCATAAACGTCATTTTTGGATTTTTTTTATTGACCATTAAACATGATATTTTCTATTTTTGTCCTTTGAGCTATATTTTCAAGTGTTTTTTTCTTACTTTTCAAGCTGGAAATTGGGAGGAAAAGGAATATATTGAGGACCCGGATCGACTAAAGCCAGAGGTAGGTAGCAGAGTTTATGCTATCATGTTTAAACGTAAAAAAGAACAACTTACTTTCATTTATTTTCTTTACTAGACTGGAGGGAGTGGGAGGAAAGCTTCCCTCACTTTTTGTGGGCCATACCACCATTTCCCTCACTTTTCTTTCCCTCACCTAAAACCCAAGGAATGGGTGGGAAGGGCTTCCCTCACTATTTTTTTTTAAATAAAATTAATTGATTTTAATGATAATTGGAATATAAAAGTATAGTGTCTATTTTGTAATTTTCAAAAACTATTTTTGTGAAAAGAATTCAGAGCTGGGTGTATTCTGCCATAAGACCAAAACATAGGGGCCAAATATGTCATTTCCAAAAACTTCTCATCTTCTTCCTTCTCCTCGTTAAAACCTGCAACTCAAAAAAAAAAAAAAAAAAAAAAAAAAAAAAAAACAAATTCCAGCCACTAATAAGAAGAGAGAGAGAGAGAGCGGGAACCCCTCCCCCCACCTCCTCCCCGCGCCTCCTATCCCGCACCGCCGGTGCGGTGTTCCTCCGTGCGGGAATGGCTCCCGCACATCCTTCCCGCTCCACTCCGTCCGGCCTTATAGTATCCTTTTAAAACTTTGTACTTTGAAAAATCTACCCATGTTTTATGCTTCTTATATTATTTTGGAAAGAAATGAAAGTATGATGGTATAAAAACAAATAAGTAGAAGTACGCTGTTATTTATTGCATTTAGCCCTATGTTTTATGCTTCTTATATTATTTTGGAATCTGTTAAAAAGGAATTATAATTTGGAATCCGTACCAATATAGGCAGTGTACTTCTTTTTACCATAAAAGCAGCATGTTTTCATTCTTTTTGATTTCCAATAATAGCAATATGCTTTGTTTTATACAATTTAGTAAAAAAAATAAAAAAATAAAAAACTTGTTCACCTTTGAAATTGATTTCCAAGGAAGCTTTGCAACAATGTTTATTGGTTGTAGGGCCCAAGCATGTCTACATCTGGAAGGCAATGGTATGGTTGTAAAGGGCAATGTACTTTATTTTTTTAGGTTTCACTCAACTAATATGGTTGTGTGTCAAAGGGCAATATACTTTATTTCATTGGGTTTCACCCAACTGATATGGTTCTGTATCAAAGGGCAATGAACTTTTATTTCACCCCTTTTAGTATTCATATACTTTATTTTATTGGGTTTCACCCAACTGATATGGTTCTGTATCAAAGGGCAATGAACTTTTATTTCACCCCTTTTAGTATTCATATACCTGACCCACCAAACAAAACGATGAAACAACAAAACAACAAAAAACATCTAACATGTGCAATGCACAGACCTCTTTACTAGTTCTACATAAATTATGCCAATATATTCATCCAATCACACCCATTTCAACGAGAATTCTAGCTACTCTTGAGAAAAACTTACCATAATTAGGTAAGAGTCATTGGAGGCTAAAATGAAAACTCAATTTGCTCATAAATCACTTAAATAATTTGTTTTATATGCTTAAAAACCCTAAATCTTGATATGTTTTTCTAGAATTATTTCAGTAGTCTTGAAAAAAAAATCACTATTGAGCAAGGGTTTCTTAAAGTTTTAGTTATTGGTTTTATATGCTTAAAAAACATAAATCTTGACCCTTTCTCAGTTTCTAAGTAATTTATAATTTTGGTATTTATTTCATACCTTGTATAGAGCTCACTTTGCTGGCCCACCACATAGTGCATTGCCCTGTCTCCTTGGGCCGCCTCCAATGATATGTTTCGTCATGCTAGCACTGTGTTCTCGTAATCTCCTAACTCCGCCAACCATCATTTTCGGTCTTTTGGCCCTGTCGGCCACTCAGTCAAGTTTGCCACCGTCCATACTGTTCTTATCATTGTTGTTTTTGAGAACGGCATATACATCATCTTGATGTCAAAAATGCTTTTATGAATAAGGATCTTACTGATGAGATTTTCATGAAACAACCTCCCAGTTATATCCATACCTCTAATCCTAATCATGTTTGTCGGCATCAAAAGGCTCTTTATGGTCTTCAATAATCCATGTGGGCTTGGTATCAACGTTTTGATGTCTATCTCCTCCTTAGGATTGTTAGCAACAAATCTGATACATCCCTTTTCACTTTCCATCGAGGTCTTGATACTATCTATCTATTCCTTTATGTTGATGATATTATCCTTGATGCCTCCTCCCCAACTCTCATTTGGTTTGTCATCTCTTGGCTATCCACCGAGTTTGCTATGACTGATCCCGATTTGTTTTTGTTTTTTCTAGGCATTTCTACATCAAGATCGTCTTATGGTCTTTTTCTTTGTCAAATTATCTTTTCCCGTGACATTATCTCACGTGCTGATATGCTTACATGTAATCCCTATAGCACTCCTGCTAACATAAAATCCAAATTATACTCTGCTCGTAAACTTGTTCTCAATCTGACTCTTTATTGTAGCCTCGTTGGAGTCCTGCGCTAACATTAACCCATCTTGATATAGCCTATTTCATCCATCAAGTTTGCCTTTGCCTTTATATGTATGATCCACAAGAACCTCATATGAATGCTTTGAAACGTATAATTCGCTATATTTCAGGAACAATATTTCATGGTCTTCAACTTCCTTCGTCTTTAGTGGATCGTCCATCTTCGGTTGACCGTTTGGGAACTATTTTCTAAATTATATTGCTTTTAGTTTTCTGGTTTAACCATAAGCTTCTCGTGGATTCAACCCTTAATTGCTCTAGATATTTTAGTGTAACATCCAAAAATTTCATGAAAAAAAAAACTTTTTAAACAATCCAAATCATCACTTGTTTACAAAAACAGTTTTCCAAAACATGTCTATCATCAGAGTTTTCCCAAAATCATAAACAAAACATGAGGAGGTGCACGATCAAGCCTTCGCCTTCCCGCGATCATCTGAGTTACCTGAAATATAACCCAAAACTGTAAGCCCAAAACTTAATGAGTTTCCCCCAAAGTACCAACCCAATACAAAACAACATAATAACAATAAACAACATGCATACAGAGCCTTCAGTCTGACTGGAACGCCCCACCGGCCTACAGTCTACCTGGTACGCTCACAGAACCTTCAACATGACTAGTACGTCACACTGGGCCTTCAGCCCATCTGCACCGTTCTTCGGGCCTTCGACACGCCCCACTGACCTTCAGTCTATCTGGGACGCCCTGGGTCTGTTGACCTTCAGCACAAAGCAGGTCCGCCTCAACCCAACCACACATACACGGTGTCGACACACATATATAACATATAATCACACAATTTACCAGTTAATAACAAGCAGACAGATCTTACAGATCACTAAGCATATCATCATCATCTCTAACAGATCACTACAATACTCAATCATACGATAAACATGATAACAATCCAAAAGGGCCGACCTTGGTACCTTCGACCCAAAAGTATAGTGAGGAACACTCACCTCACACTGAAAGCCTCCGGCTGCTAGCTCACTAAAATCCCCGCGCTATCACAAACATAAAAGTCATCCAATCAATACTTGGATTACATTCTAAGCTAATAGTCCAATATTAGGGTAAATGGCCACTTTACCCTTTTTCCTTAGTTGGGCTAAGACCCAGACCCAAATCTTGATCCAAAAGGCCCAACCACTAAATAACCATCCAAGGCCCATAATTGGCCCAATTTTCCAAATTGGGCCCAACTCCTATTTAGGCCTTACCCCAAGGTCCAACACTTCACTTAGCCCAAAGCACCCATAATCATTTGGACCAATAAGGGCCCAAGCATCCAAGCCCAAAAGGTGGCCCAAAGCTTGAAGCCCAAACTTGAAAACCCACCCGGCTGAGTACGCGGCGCGTACCCAGCCGTACGCTCAGCGTACTCCACCTTGACTAAAACGCGATGCCGACCACCTATGCCCAACGTACGCCCTGGTATGCCCAGCGTACGTGGTGGCCATGCACAAATTTGAAAAAGGCTTATTCCATACAGACCAAACGTCCACAAACCAGATCCATGTCCAAGAAGGTGCTCTTAACCATAAAGTTTCCAACTTTATGGTTATGCATGCATCATTAAGACTCAAAACCATCCTCCTAGTTGGTCTTAACCAC